CTGCTGCTGCCACTTACGTAGATCATCCAGGCTGCGTAACGCTCTTTGAGGTTGTACAGCACAGCGGGTTCGTGGAGGTGGGTCATCATGGCCATGTCCTCGATTTTGTCGTACTTGGGAGGGTTCATGGAGAAGATTTGATCTTCCTTCACAGTCAGGGTCTGTCAGAGGGCAGGAAGGGACATGAATAGATGTCAGTTAAGAATCCACAGTAGGAAGGAAATGCTGTTTGTAAATCTTGCATTTTACTCACCTCTCCCCCTTCAGTCTTGACTGTGATCTTCCCTGATTCCCTACTCTGAATTGTGCTTTTCACATAGGATTCCTTTGCATGTACCACAAAGACGGATGACTTGGCATCAAAAGGCTTGTTCTGGGCCTCGATTCTCTCCTTCTCCGATTTTCGGAGGTAAGGAGCCGCCTCCCCAAAAATGGCCATCTCGGCGTCTGTCGACATGGCTGTGGTTTATAACATGCAGCAAGGCACGGCGCTGGAGTGGTGGCAGAGTGCTGAGGGGAAGGAAGAAAGTCCTTTGTACCTGAGACCTGAGTCTTGCTAGTGTTCTGTTCTGCCTATTCTTACAGTCTGCCTCTCTGTCTTACCTGCTTTTCACCCTAGATGTCTTTTAATTTACTTAATTTTAAAGAAGATATGTTTCTTTGATTAAAGTTAATTTTTTTTTTTCCTTATTGCAGTTTACATGTTCAGTTCAGATCTCATAGTGTTTCAGTAAGCTGTATGGAAAAGTTGGATTGATTGGCACAGTCAAAACTAATCAAAGATGCAGCAGAGATACCAAGCAAAAGCAGAAGAAGTACCAAGAGAAGTCATCTTATCAAAATTATGAAAGTCTGCTTGCATTCTTTCCCTCTTGCCCATTTTAAACCATGTAATTTATATTGACTATAGAGGTGGAGCAACATAAGGAAAAGGATGTGGACTAAGCAGAAGCAGAGGTATGAGCTGTCCATGCAAACATTTTTCCCCAGTTATAAATCAGATTTTGTCTCCTCTAGTTGCTCTGTCTTTTTCAGCTCAAGCTATTCCTTTAAGATTAACTTGTAGCGAAAGAGGAAAATAAAATAAAAAAAAAATTAATAAGAAACATTCAGAGGGATTTGACAAAATCTTAACTATACATGTGGTGGTGATTCACTTCCTCTTTCCTGGACTTCTGTTTCCAGGAAATCTGTTTTTAAGAGTTCTGTGCGTAAGAGGTCAATTATTTCCCAGCAGGTACCAAACAAATGTGTCCAACGCAATTATGAAAGGAAATTTGCTCTTTTAGAGAGCCCAGCTCAGGTAGAATTGTACTGCATTAGTGTGTATAGATGTAAAGGGGTGTGGAAAGTGGCCTTAAAGGTGCATAAAAAAAGCCAACTTGGAGTCTATTCCTATGGGGTAGGTAAATCAGTCTTACCTCTTGTGACACCAGCTGACTCTCAGGCTGGAAGATGGTCAATACTGAAAAAGAGAAATGCAACTTCCTTCTTATCTTTGCACAGACTCCCAAGGATAAGTTATAGGGGGAAAATATGCTGGTGACTTGAATGCAGAATCCAAATGTCTCTTGATACAGACAGTTCTTTAAGGAAAGCAGTTCTACAAGCAGTAGGAATGCAGTGAGATTCTGCCAGCACCCAGTCCTCCATACTCTTACCTTTAATCTTTCCACAGAGACAGAAGAGACTTGTCCTACGAGCACTTTTATAGGTTCTGGTTTGATCATTCAACTCCCTCCTCCTCTTTCGTAGGTCAAAAAATTTTTGGCAAAGCATTGTTTGGCAAAGTAGACTGGGTGCATGATTCCCATTCGGGCTCGTGGATATATTTAGAAATATCTGAAGTGTTCCTAGCTATGTGAATAAAACTCCTATAAATATTTTGACTAGGAATCTGGAAGGAGGAAATGCTGTCCAGCAAATAGGACAGCAGGACTGGGTCTTGGAATTGTTGGCTTCTCTTCTCCTGACTGTGAATTGCTGTTTGACATATAAGATTTGTGTGTCTCAGGACTCAGTAGCAGTGAGAAGGATTATTATTACAAGAGCTTTGGAGAGATTCTCTTCAGAAACACTCTGGAAAGAAGGAATAGGAACAGTCCAGTATAATCTAATTCTAAGACTGGACAACCATATCATGCTTGTGTTACGCATCTATTTACAACTCCTTAGATTTTTGCTGGGTACTTTCAAAAGATCAGATTATCCCCCTTGCTTCATACATTTGATTACATCATTTATATTCTTCTGAAGTATTGTCTGTTGATTCTGATTTGAAATTCAATTTTAAAGGTATTATTTTACTGTTCTCCATACTTGGCTGTGCTGGTGTGCTCAAATGTACGTCCGGCAAAAATTTCAGTAGTGTCACATTAGCAGGAATTCCTAAGGATGCATTTTACATCCTTATCTTTTAGTTTTATTGGCAGCTTTAACTTGCCAATCTGCTGCTATTGTAGACACCTTGGACTGTGGCTGTAGTTACCAAATGTGAGAATGGGATTTAGATCACAAACACACCTTCTCCAGCCTTCCCAAGCACAAACACAAACTCCACAGAAATGTAGAGAACTCCTGGGAGGATTTTCATTTCCTTTGCAAAGAGGTACATAGGATTTACTATTCTGAGTTCTTCCATGGAGCTTGGATGAGGCACTGTGATTTTGCACCATATTCTGAAGACTCGTGTTTTCCCTCAAACATCAGTGAGTTGAAGCACTGTAAGAAGAGTCAGAGAGAGTGACCAGTCCTCTCAGCTCGTTGCTCTTGAAGACTTCTGTGTGCTTCCAACACTGAGACATCTGAGATCAAGAATTCTTTTGAGGCTGCCAATGTCCTTCTGAAAAATAAATGTAGAGATTTTATAATTTCTGTTTGAAAGGTAATATTGTATGTTTGTAGAATTTTCGTTGAAGAAAACGTCATCCTTTAGCATGCCAAACAGGATAAAGGAAGAGAAAGAGAGATTTTCCTTTTCTCTTTCCTCTTCTACTGCATTATATAAAGGCTTAACAAAGAATAGACTTGGTTGTTATTTATATGTCACATGAAATTAGCTCCAAGACAGATCTGCAATTTTTTGGTAAACATGACTGTTGACATAATGTCTTCTAAGTTGTGTGGGAACTGAAAGCTTACCAGCTGAAATCAACATAGCTGAAAGAAATTTCCCATCCAATATCTGCTTTTACTGTTATTGCTGTGTTTATGAGTCTAATTTTGCAGCTGCAAAATGATTCTTTACATTTCAGTTTCCCTCCTGGGTCCTCAGCACTTGTTAATTAAAGAGCATGACATGGATGCCAGCACACTGGTTCAAAGATCACACTTGCGGTATATCATTCTCTGTCAGTTTGGCATCTTGTATTTTATTTCACCTCCTAGAGTAATGGGAATCAACTGGGAAGGCAATAGATTCAAGAAGTAATAACAGGTAATGTGTCTTTCTGTTTCTTCCTGTGTTAGAAGCTTGACAATGCTTGGGTTTTGTCTACCTAGTTCAGGAAATAGCACCTCATGTATATTTTTCCCACAGTGAGAACACTATCAGGTCCCAAAGTCATTCAAGGGCTCTGAGTTCTTGTTTTGCCTTGCCTCTTTGTGTTCTGTGAATTTTCTGAATATTTTTTCATCTTCGTGGCAACTCATGAACCCATTAAACTCCAGACTTTTTACAGAATTTTTAAACGGGGATGCGATAGTGTTAACTTATCCTTAAACCACTTTTTTCAGTTTTCAAATTTTGGAAAAGGTTGCATAAATTTTTTTCATTTGTGGATGGAAAAAAGATTCATAAATACAAAAATGTGATGGTTCTGCTTGTCCTGTGATTGGTTATGGAGGTGGACTTCACGCTACTGGACAAGTCATTGGCCTCAATCTTCAACTCACCTTTCTCCTTTGCCAGCTTCTGCCTTGTGCTTTGTGGGTTTTTACTCCCCAAATTCACCAGTCTGCTGTAGAAAAAAGAATAATAACCCCATAGGACCACAGAAGTGTCAGTGATAAAGGACCTCTAGGGGTCCCTACTCATGTTTTCAAGTCACAAAATCATCTCACCTCTCTCAAAAATTTGTTGCCACAGTGCCCCTATCCACTTACTGAGAAAAACGTGAGGTTGAAGCTTCCAAGCTGCTCTTTGTGTTTTATCATGTAACACTACCAAGAGTTTGCCTTCCTTGTTTTTTGATGGTCTGTCAGATAGTTACAGGCTGCTGTACCACTTGTCGGACTCTTTGCCATGCTAAACCCCTTGTAGGCTTTATGTGCTGACCACCTTGGTAATCTACCACTGCACTTTCCAGTTTCCACACATCATTCTTGAACAAAAAGGAAATAGTAACTTCCTTCAGTCTGATGGTGACGCTCTTCCTAGTATAGCCTAGTATGTTCTTTGTTTCCTTCATGATAAGAGTGCACCTCTGGCTTGTGTTTGCATTTGTCATCTGAAAACTTACCAAGAATACACTCATCAAATCAAAGAATCATCATTGTCCAAGGTGCTGATAAAAATGTTGAACAATATGGCCAGTCTTCGCAAGCGAAGATCTGCGGAAGGTCTTTCCACCTTCCAGCCTGCGCATTGGATTTTTTAGGTGAGACACAGTGTGCGCGGAACTGAGCCCACCCTTTAATCCTGAGGTTCATCTGCCGGGCCAAGCACGCTTGGACGGTGGCAGCGAGGTCCTCAGGACGTAGATGGATTGCCTTTACAGGCTAACGAGCTCCGTCTGCCCGGGGAGGGGCCCCGACCGGGAATCGAACCCGGGTCTCTGCAGTGACAGTGCAGTGCCTTTTCCCCTAGACCACCGGGGGCTCCCTGAACAATATGGAGCACACAGTTGAATCACTTATTGACATTTAACTGAACATCAAGCCATTTGTCACTACCCCTTGAACTCAATTTTTAACAAACCTAATCCAATACATTCTTCTGAATAAGATTGCTGTAGGATACAATGTCAGAATCCTTACGACAGCTTGTTGGAATCCAAAACTTGGCTATCAACAAAAGGAGAGCTGACAGGATTAAGCAGAAAGCCATGGACAGTGGGAGTTGGGGAAAGTTCTTTGCTTTGAGAGCCTAAAACCACACCACAAGAGATACCACAAAACTGTCCCTGTTAATAATTAGCTGTGTTTGAATGTCCTGTCTCCCTTCACAAGATATGGAAAGGTTTTGTAATGATGTTGTAAGATGGTGCAAGAATCCTTTTGTTCCTTCCCCCCATGTAGGTTCCCTGTAGGGTTCCTTGCTAAGGGAACATATTAACCACCTTGCTCCACCTTAGCCTAAAATTGTGTAATTCTCTACTTAGCATAATCTGTCTCCCAATTAGCATAACTCATCCTCCTCATTAACATGTCCCGCCCACCTTCCTGATATGTTGCGAATCAGGGGTTCAATAAAGCATGCCAGGTCTTACCCCCAGCCTGGGATCGATTTGTCACTGGACCTTCTCAAGAGCT